AATAGGCTTTGTTTGATTTTGTGTCTTTGGATCAGCTGAAGTAATTTTCGGTTGCAGTGTTGAACTGTATGGGCAATTCGCAGCTGAGGCATACAATCCACACTATTATTACGGTAAAACAATGCTGGAGATGGCAAGCATAGAAGATGGTGTCTTCACGAATGCGCTCCAAAATACGAAAGCGGTCGCAGAAACGGATGAGACTGAAGAAGGAGAAGAGCATGGAGCAGATGGTGAGCAGGACGGGGAGAAGCCGGAGAGTGAGGTTGAGACAGCAAAGGAAACCGAAGAGAACGGTCAGCAAAAAGAATCGGAAGAGCAGAAAGAAGAAACCGAACGCATTGGCAATCCAGAAGAGTTAACCGGTATGAGCTGGGAAATTGTTTTGTAAACTTTTTCAATTGACTTTTTTGATAATTTTTCTAGAAATCGTTTAAGGTTGTAGTGTTGTGCGTTTTATTAGGAATTGCATTGGAATTTTTAAGATTGATTGACATTCAAAAGCAGTCATTAAGGTGTTATTTTGGGTGAATTTTTGATGATTTTTGCTAGCTGTTTAATAGGAAATGCCATAATTGCGATCTGAGGTCATATCCTGGTTAAAGTTTGGAATTGTTTTCGAACAACTGATTTCAGAGGATGAAAGGGAGGAGATTGCAGAAAAAGTGGCCGAAGCGCTAGAAGAGAATGCTGAAGCGTTGGAGAATGGAACGCCTCCGGATGATGCAACTTCGGAAGCGAAGGTTTATATGTTCACTTTTTGTATTGCGGCAGTCAAAATTACTTTGCCACTCTTATGTGTTCTATTGGGGAACACTGTGTTATTGTTGTTAATGTTAATGCTAGACATGATCATCACTTTTTAGTTTCAATGAAATTAATTGAACTTCTACGGTAATTCTTCTATGATAACCCACGTCAATAATAATCTATTTGCAGGACCAAGAAAAGAGCGAAAAGGTTGAATCGGCAGAAACCGAAGAGATGAAAGATGAAGAGAATGGAACGGATGAGAAGAAAGCGGATACTGAAACGTCGAAAGACGCTTCAGAAGTTTCGTCGACTGATCAGACGAGTGCAGAAGACGAAAAAGATAAGGTAAATGGCGAGGAGAGTGCAACGAAACAATCTTCTGAGAAAATGGACGTGGAAACCGAAAGCGAGAAGACTCAGGAGGAAGCAGGAGACAAAACACTCGAAGGAGAGGAGTGTGAACAGGATCAAGATGGTGATTCAGCAACTCAAGAAGATGAGCTGGAGAATCTACAGCTAGCATGGGAGGCACTGGAAGTGGCCAGGACAATATGCGATAAGTTGGTCTTTCTTACAGATACTTTTGCATGCCTTTCGGATTTATTTTGAACCCCTCATCTACAGTGATTGTCATATCATGGCCTTCATTTCTAAAAGCATAAATTTTATCTCCAAGATCGAACAGTCTACTTCTTAGATCTTATAGTTCATTTCTTATGTATAAAAATTGAGTTATGGTTTACCTCTCAGAGTTTTACGTTTCACTCTCAGAGATAACAATTATATTTTCAATAGGAAATCAGTTGAATCACAAGAAATCAGTTGAAAAATGAACGAAAAAGAGAAGACATAAAATTATGATTGTATGAACAATTGCAGACAAATCGAACAGAATCAAGAGGGCTGGCAAGAGAAGAGAGCCGACGTTCTGCTGGCACTGGCCGAATGTCTGATCCAGAATGCTCGCTATAAACAGGCGGCCAGCGATATCGATGTGTGCATCGAAGCGTTCCGAGCGGTCTGTAAGCCGAGTGATCGTCGCATCGCCGAGGCATACTTCCAGAAAGCACGCGCTCTGGCACTCGACAAGCAGTTTGAGAATGCTGCGGAAACTTATAAAACAGTGAAGAAACTCCTTGAAGAGGTTTTAGGTGAACGATTCGTTGCCATCAGATTGATTTTGTGTTTATCATTTATGTGATGAGCATTCTCTGAAGTAATGCATCGTTTCCTCGGAACTAGTTCACAGTGAATATCATTGGAACAAAGACATGTGGAAATGATCACGTCTTCCCATTGTTCTCTAGAATCCTTCAAAGAAATTGACTGTTCGCATATGAGTTTGATTGAAAATCTATTTCCGAGTATGTTGGTTCTCGAGGTTATATTAATTGGTTGAGTGGTAATTATGTGAAATAATATGAAAAGTGGATTGATTGGGTTCATAGACTCAGCAGCTGAGACAAACCAACAACATCAGAATAACTGCATTTTTCACAGTGATTAACATGAAAGATGGGTACGCAATCGAAAAAATAGAATTAAAATCATGTGAAGATCATTCGCACGATCAGTTTTATATCCGAGAATTTTCTCCAGTGATTCTTTATGGTCGTAACAAATCTTCTCTCAACTCTTCAGCGTACAATCAAAAAGAAGTTGAATCGGCCACAAACGAGGAAGTGAAGGCTGAGGCGCAAAAACAAGTGGATAGTCTGACGGCGTTGATTCCGGATATTCAAGTGAAGATTGATGATGCATACGAGAGTGCGAAGAATGCTGAACAGGTTCGTATTGGGATTGTTATAGTTGTTACTGATTTATTTATGGTATTGTTATTATTGAAGTTCTTTTTTGTTTTGATGTTATTCATGCACTTTGAGGGTTGGCGTATGCCTGTCGGATTTTGAACTGCATATGCGGTTTAGCTTTGGCTATCAGAGCATAGACTACTGCATTTGCAAAAACATAAATTTTGTCTGCAAGATCAATGAATCTATTTGATGTAACGATGAAATCTTCACGACTTCTCATTTTTGTTGCAGGTTGATCAAGAGAAAGCAGCTGAAGACACTGCGAAATTGGCCACAGTCAAAACTGATTCGTCGAAAGAGGTAGACGACATCAGTGGATTGGTAAGAAAGAAGCCGGTGAAAAGGGCAGCGCCAATCGAAGAGACCACGGAAGCGAATGGAACGGAGGAACTGAAGAAAAAGGCCAGATGCGTACTCGAAGAAGCCACCAAACAGCATAAAGAGGAACAACATCAGGAGCAAGAAGTTGAATGATTTGTGGAGTGTTTGAATGTGTTAGACGAGATTTCGTGTGCTATTTTTGAAGCCTTTTTTCATTTCTCAATGATTTTTGTGCTGTTTTCACGTTACACTTGCATACTACCGATGTTTTTACAATTATTCAGCATTGTATTATCGCACTTTCGTCTGTTCAACAACATTTTCACTAATATAATGATGAAAATTTATTCCCGTGTTTCAATTATCATCAGTAATTTGATATTTTGTAAGTTTTACGTACTTTGAAGAAATGAATTTAAGTGCTGTTATCTTATCTATAATATTTGATTCTGTATGCTATTATTAGTTAATTATCACTCTGTATTATGGTCTCATAACTATCGTTTCCATGTTATTGTCTCAAATCATTATTATCAGTACGTACTATAAGTTATAAGTATCAGTTTATCATTGGTTATATCCTCATTTTATCATATTACCTTACCTTCATGATTACCTGTGTCATTGTCCCAATGATACTTGCATGTTTCACTGCAATGCTGTCATATTGTAACATCAATATTGGATCTCTCTTTCATTCGATTTCTCATTGAAAAGGAAGATTCCCCATTGTTTCGGTTATAATCTACGCGTATGATCAAATGGGTGGAAGATTTTATCTTATCATGATTCAGTCTGTAAAGGAATTATTTTATCTAATTCATTTACCATTTTCAACTATATATATCGCAATGCGACCGACCTCATTTTTGTCACATTTCAATATTCCATCCATTTCATTCTGTTTGCTGTGTTTTATGAATTTTTGAATAAATTCAATTGTCAATAAGACATTATTTTAACGCAATCTGCGTTCTTACCAATCAGGAACATTCAGGTACACTCAAATTTCTTTTCGCTCTCAAATTTAGAATGGGTGTGAACTGAAAGATTTAAAGTATATATGATATGTCAACTGTTTTATAACTACGCATTAATGCAGCAGTAACACCGAATTTTTTATTCAGATAGGTTCTAGATACAATGGTGACCATAATTATTCAGATTACTTACAATAGATGTGAATGAATCAGATAGGTTCAAAAAGGATATCATTAAAGTCTGGAGTCAATTCGACAAATCGCCTTCTACACTGAAATTTTTTCAACATCTCCGCCCTTCAAGTGAAACCGCAAGCCATAAACACGAAGGTGAATGACTGGTCTTAGAAATAAAAATCTCAAATGATTAATAAGAGTGAAAGGGGATGAGTGGAACGAGGCGTATCGAAGAGAATCGTCGAGGTTACGGGTTAAAGCCTCCCACATCCACAGATACACAAGCGAAAGGATATAGCGATTGCGATAAGTCAGTAAAATCATGCTTTAGGGACGGATAAGATACAAATATAAGCAAAGCATGTGATCACTAGTGAGGAATGGAAAGGTCATAGATTTGCTCATCACGAGAGAAACATCTGATCACATGACACTAAGTCAACCCTCATCTATCAATCTGCTCATTAGAAATGTCGCTCGCTAACAGAGAAAGCTTGGCGAGGGCTGTGCAAGCCTTTTGACAGAGTGGTGGCATAATATTGAATGCATGAATAATATGTAAGCGAGAGTATCATCTGGATGCATGAATAAATTCACAATATTCACCACACAATGAAACTAAATCATCACACGTTCATAACGTATTCAAGCTGATCGTTGTAAAGCTTTTTGTGGGCAGCATATGACAACATTTGGTGCAGCCAAATGATATTTAGGTTGCGTTCAGTTGCCTATTTATGTGCTCTTATTCATGCTTGCTAGGTTAGCTAAATCTTTGCTTCGCTTGAAAATGTAGTACAGGTTGGTGCTGCTCTCCATGGTTACGACGTTGTCAAAATGCGCTGATTTTGTTGTTTACTCATAAGAGACGAGAAGAGACGCATATGAAAATACCTTTTTTTGATTTAACAACAATTTCTTGGCTAACATCATTTCGATTCAGAAATTTTTGCCCAGATTATTCAAACATTTATCAGAACAATGTAGTGTAGTTTCACCGTTATTATTATAACACTTCACTGATTACGTTGTAAAATGCTCTTTTTCGCCTTCAATTTCAACAGTAAACGTTATGATTAGTTCAGTTTTGCAGGTTACGTTTGTATTTGCTGATTTGTTTCATTGTGACTTTGGCTTTTGCAAATCATCTTCATAATTTGATTTGCTGGCCACTTACTCTATAAAATAGTCAATACCAGAATTTGTTCCACTGATCCTTAGCAAACTGAAGGTTCGAGGTAACTTGTTGTATTGATAGCATCAGAGACAGTCCTATGAGAACCTGATAAAATTGCAGGGCAATGAAACTGATAATCGATAGTCAATTCTTATACAGATAGATCAAACAATTACATCACTTGTGAAGATGACGTTCACTTTATGTGTTACTGATCTTATGAACAAAATTTTTTATGAATAAGCCAATAATAGTTTCAGTCAATTTCGAGAGACGAAACAGTAACTTCAACCTGAAGTCATCTTCAGGAACGAGAAGGTCATTGTAATCAACTTCATATAATCACCAATGTTGCTACGAATATGATGTTCGGTGGCTGTTGGAAATCTGTATAATAGCGATTGGAAGACGATTATGGCAGCAGCACAAATAGCTAAACGATTCAGCAGTTCAGAATTGCTCAGTCAAGATTCTGATGCTCCCAACAAAGTGAAACATCCGAATACGAGCATTTTCCAGGCTCACAAACATCTAAAAGTGCAACACGCAGAGTTATGCAACGACTATGATCAACTACGCAAGGCGTTCATTCTGGTTTGTCTTCAAATTGTTGACTCGAAACGTTCACTCGCCACATTCACTTCGTTTTGTGGAAACATTTCACAAAAAAATTTCATGACACGATTTTGAACGCAAAATCCAGGCTGTGTTTCCTGAAAGTCATCAGTTCCGTGAAAAAAACTTGAGAGAAAGGCCAATCGCGATTGGAAGGATATCTGAAAATCGTGATCTGCGATTAACCACAACAAATGCTATCAGTGGAAATGGGCAAAATAATCTCATAATCTGCTAAGATTCTAAGGAATGTGGTCCTCTGTTTTCTTCGAAAATCAATGTGAAAACTGGAGAAAATCTGTGGATCTCGTCAGCATATTCACAGATTCAAAAGATATCCAAATGTAACTTCAGTTACTGACCCCTCTCTTGCACTGGACATAATGTCGTTTTGAATTTACCATCAGATGAAATGCCGAAAAATTGCTGACATTCATCAGTTATTCACAATTCAGCTCTTAACTTCACATTCAGCTTTAAGCAAAGAATTCAGAATGATTTTTCAAATTCAGTTGGAGAAGAAGAATGACGCAGAGGAGCGGCATTATATTGGTGAAATCGAAAAGTTACAAAAAGAGAAGCAAGCGGCCATCGATGAATTTCAGTCGTATACGGAGGAGAGTGAGGGCCGCATTGAGAGTTTCAAGAAGAATCTCGATAAACAATACCGGAATGTTCGTTTCTCGTTATGCCATTCGTAATGGAGGGGTCGGGAAATTAGTATTTTATGCAGTTGTTATGATAAAACTCCATTGTGATGGTGTTTTTCAAGTCGGATTTGTAAATGCGGTTACTTGATGGCAACACCTTTGAATTTCCTATTTTCAGAGTATTATTAGCTTGTCCGGACCTAACAGAGTTTTCATTTGTTTTAACAGGGTTTTCATTCTTTTCCTTGCTGTTACAACTGCTCTCATAGCTTTTATCACCAAAAGTGTTCTCTTCTGCTAATTTCTCATTCATTTCACTGAATAAGTAAAGTCAAATTCTCATTCTATCAGATACACTCTATAATTGATCATTTGACTGTCGAACGTTGTTGAGCAAGTCAGTTTGATCGCTGTATTGATTTCGACTGTCAACATCGTCAACGCACCCAGTAAATAGTACATGCTACAGAATAAGAAATTGATTCGAGACACTCGTCAACGTATTCAATAAATAGTATATGCTACAGAATGAGAAACTGATTCGAGCTTGAAGTGAAATGAAACGAAGTGAATGAGAAAAACTCATCAAGAGAACGGTATTCGCATGAGATAGCTATGAGAGTAAATACAACACGTCCGAAAAGAATGAGAATGCATCTAAAACAGTTATAAATGAGCGTGTCACAGACAATATCTTTTCACGCAACCATAATCGATTGCCATGATGACCAACACAACGGTTCATAATACTCGGACATAACATGATCTCATCAATGTAAAATCTTCTTCGTTTCATATGACGGATCATTTTTTCACGAGGTCCATCGATTCATTTTTGAAGTGTCCAAGAAATTGGGGAATTCTATCCACTGAACGCTCACACACATATTTCCATTCATATTCACTTTTGCACAATGTGATCATTTTGTAATCGAATGACAATTGTAACTGATAGATAGTTTGTATCCAATTAATTGATTCCACTTCTAGTGATATAGCATGACCTTCACATGAAATGCACAAGAAACCAGGTCAGTTTTAGGCTTTAGAACTATCGGAATTCGAATCGCAAAAGTTAAAATTAGAAAATGAGCAGTTGGGTGCCGAGCAGGTGAGGCTTCAACGTGAACTTGTCGAAGTGAACGCCACGTTACGTGAAATAAGACGTGAGAACGAACGTGCTCAACTCGAAATCCGCGATGCCTATGAAGAACAAATCAATCGGCTCACATCGAACGCTCTCGCTGAATCGAGAAAGTGAGTGAAATGATCCAGATCAGGAAACTGATAATGCAATACCACTCTGAATTAGTATCTTTACTTGTTCAATTGACATCATTCAACATTGTGTTCCTTTGCATTTATCGAACTTTGATTGAAATCCCCTGGAAAACTGTGAAGTTTCCTGTGAGCAAAATATTTTTCGAACAGAGAGCAGCAAGAAACTGGAATAATCAAGATTAAGTCTAGAATTCAAATCCCTGATCAAAGTTCCGTTCAGAAACCGTGACGAATCTGGTGACAATGATGCATTAACACTGGAGTTGGAGATGCTTCGTGAACGTTATCGTATGCTGGATGAACAGTATCGCAGATTGCATGAGGATGCCGAGAGACGTCAATTTGAGAGTGATACCAGGATTAGGAATCTGGAAGGTAGTCTAATGGAGAGGTCAATGCGTGCCACACGATCAGCCATTAAAATTGAGCAGTAAGTCTGATTTGTAGTTGCCTCAATTGAGCCAAGGAACTTTAAAATCTGATTCATTTCATATCATTTTGAATCATGAGTTCGAAATCAATTCAAAGCTTGTTGCGAAGTTTTCATTATGAACCACCATCAAAACGTTGCACTATCGACAGATCATACTCCCGCAATAAAATCAACTGTTGATCAGCAGTTTGATTCGTATTTTCAGACTTTCACTGGAAGTGGAAAAATATCGTCGTAATTTGGAGCATAATAATGGGGAATTTGAACGCTTACAAGGGTTCGTTTCACTTTATTCAATGAAAAAATCCCCAACTCAATCAAAAATCTGAATGATCTAAGAAGTTGAAAACGATAGGCAACACTAATTTCGCACAAGTTTAAATCAAATCCTTTTAACATATTATATTTTCTCTCGTAATTTATCAGCGTTTATCGTGAGTTTTCAAGTCATTGCAAAAATTTGGTCGAAGTCTTGTAAAATACATAAATATCGCTTTCTCTAAGTACATCATTATCACGGTTCCAGAGAAGTTAAACGACTTCAGAAGGATAAATTGACCGTCGAAAGGGAGTCAATGGAGCGAGACCAATCTTTAACAGATCAATTGTTAACGCAATCAATGCTAATTGATAAAAAATTGAATGAGGTAGAAAAAGTATCCGCAGATAAAGATAGTCTTATCAAGGGTTGGTTTATCGTATTTCCCTCACAATACTGATTATCAGTTACGGTTATGATCAGTCTTTTCATTGGCATTACACCACGGGCTTTACCTCAGTGACGATCAGTTCACCTTAACGCTATCAACACCACGATTGTAATGTTGATCTCTTCTGATGTTCACTGTTTACGTTGAATAATATTGTCATTTCTGCCGATATCTTATCATTGAACTTATCATTCTTATCGAAAACATTCAAAAGCATTTGACAAAACCACTCTCTCCAGTCGATCAAGTAATCATCACAATAAAATGCGTCAATCTTTATGAGAATTCTGCCTCAGTTGCATAAGTTGTGATCACCTCCTTGTAGATGGTGGTGACGATTTCGCAAAAACCAGATGATTTCGTCAAGCTCTTAAAAATTCTGTTTCATTTTGAACGTCTTCGAGTAAATTCAAGCTCTCTCAAATTTGAAAGCTTCAATTTGAAAACTTTTTTTTAAAAAATCTTATGAACTCCTCAAAAACTTCTGTTGTTTTCAGAGTTACAATCGAAACTATGCGATACTCAACTCCAACTGAAAAGCCAAACTGATTCTGTGAAAGACTCTCTGAAGGGGACTGAAGACTTGGAGCGTCAAGTTGCTACTCTGAGACAAGAACTGAAACAAAATGAAAGCGAGTCAAAGCTGACAGTTGATAAGTTGAAGTGGGAACGTGACCGAGCCATTCAGAATCTGGCTGATTTAAGGTTTACTAACATTCTTTCGAGTTTCAGTCAAAACTGATGAATTTCTCCAATCAATTGCGAGATTTCGCGTACGAAACATCATCTCCAAGTGCATATTTCTTCATAAACATAGTGATGAAATCAATTTCTGGACTGCAAAAGGACACATATTCCACTTCATAATAATTTGATACTGATTCGATGTTTTCATGCGAAACCTCAGATCTCTAATTGTTGCTCTCTCATGAACATCTTTCATATATGTGGACAGAAGTTGTTCTGACTCAAATTCACTTCTTCAGGAGGTCAAAGCTGTCAGTAGCAGCAACGACAGACAATTCAGAATCGAAGGAAGAAATCAAAAAGTTACAAGAAGCAGTCCACCAGCGAGACGTTGAAATTCGCAAGGTTCATCTTTCATATGTTGAAAGTCGTTGTGTTCTATTCCCGTAGCATAATTTTCAATCTCGTTCTGTTCAGTGTCCTGTTCTACCGTTCAAACTATTCCGATCTTTTCTATTTCTGTTCCGTCAGCGAGAAAAACAAAATGATGTGAATAGTGATGACTGAAGTTCGAATCCGAGTTTATTGGCTTAAGTGGTGCAAAATAGAAGGGAGTTGGGCTGGGAAAAGGTTGTCTGTTTGGGTAATAGAAGTTGTCCATTAGAAGCATTCTGCTCGGCTCTCGGTATCCTCAAGCACATAACCTGTATTCCTTGAATGCAACACAAAATTTTTGACATTTTCTTGCAGATCAAAGAACACTATCGGAAACTTTTAAAGAAAATGAAACGATCACTGTTAAAATATGAGAAACAACTCGCGCTAACGAACGGTCAATTCGCAGAATTCCCTGCAGAGTAAGTTGTTTGAATGGTTTTTTTCATAAGTAGGCAAACACTCTTGCACTGTTGCAAAAATTGTTGCTCGTTTCCCAGCGGAACTGAAATGGATCGATTTGATCAGGAAATTTCCAATTTTCAACAGCCAATCATTCGCCATAATTGAATTTCATCGTACTGTTCAGTTTCATTACTTTTCTTTTGTGATTTATAATTCTCTTGCAAATGGAACAGATTCATTGTCATGCCGACTCTAGATAAAACCACTACATAATATGAAAGCTGTTAAACGATCTCCGACGGAATGTAGCGAAGAAACTCATTTCATCTCATCTGTATTTGTTGTTAGCGTTGAAGTAATTCCTGATCCAAAACATTTTCAGCAAGGAAGTGGACGATGATATAATGAAACGGTACATAAAGTTTCGTTTGGGAATGCCTAGTTAACGTGTACNACAACAGCGAAGATATTGGCGTATTTGTGTAATTCCCAGATCAGAATGCATCCTCATCGAAAGTATAATACTATGCGACAAGTTCTTGAACGTTCCATCGTTATATTCTCATAATGAATTGCAGATGATGAAATAAATACATACATCAACAACATCATTCTCCCCCTTTCAGTGTTCACTGAACTGCTCAATTTTTCAATCATTCATATCTGAATCTGAACATTACACTGTCTGAATACGACCTGGCTAGCTGATCAAATAATCGAAAGTGGTGAATATTGTGGTCTGTAAGAAGCAATTGTTCTCTTTCTCATCAAAATGATTACCACTTAAGTATGGACATACTAGTGACCGAGATTTGGTAACATCGGGCGACCACTGACTTTAATACACCATATTCGCATTGGTCAATGTGTACACGAGACTAGCAGCACCAGGACCACCTCTTTCAAACTAACCCTACCCTCAGCTATACAAGGAAGTATGTCTGTTTCCGTCCATCAAGGGATTCTTCAAATTTCCTACATTCAGATAAGGATATCTTTGTTATTTTCACGACCCAAGCCTGCATGATTTCGTCTTCAACTTTTTTTCCTTCCTTGCAACACACCACTGTTAACTGCCATGGTGCTGTCCAGATGTGAGGGTTTACCTGTGTCTCAGCAATGTCCGTCGCAATTCCCTAACCTAGCTCCACTTATTGCAATTTTGACGGATTGGGGACATCCACATACGTCACAAACTCTTGAAAGTTAATGTGACTGACCATTGGCTATATACAGTATATCACAACGCAAGTCAAATCGCTACCAAAATACACTACGAGGAGTAATGTCTCCGAACCAGCCCTGCAGCAACTTGTCTCATCAGGCTGAGTAATCCCGGCAAACATTACAGGCTCACTGCCACGCTCATAAGTCTCTCCATACGCCAGGGTATTGGAACAGAAATTTCTCATCCTATATTGACCGTTCCAAAATACCTATTGTCCATGTTATCTGATAGGCTCTCACCCGTTCCAATTTGTTTCCTAAAGTGACATACGTGCCTTCAAAAATGGCCTAATTCGTGAGTTTATTTCTCATCTGGGGTGTAAATAAGTTTCCGCATTTGAGGACATACTAGGAAGCTAGACCCTCTTCCCTTCTGCATGTTTGGTTTTACTCAAACTTGGATTCGGTAAAACTATAAGAAATCCACTTGCGCAGTTCTGTACAGCCAATATTGGAAAACCTGTTTGCTAACTTAATCCAGCTACATCTTTGTTTCTCTACGTAATCGGATTCTCCAGATTTTGTGGTTTCCGATAGCTATATGATCATCTAGATTCCGAAAACTCTGAAAATATGATCGGCTCAGAAAAATTTGGGGAGGGGCACCAGCATAAGGGAATGGGGATGGGATCTCTGAAATTCGCCGTCTTCCGCACCACAATGATATACTCATCATTCTCATAACCCTTATCACTTGGTGATGCGATAGATATTCCCACAAAATTGCAGCAACATCATAGATATAGCCACAGATATTTCAGCAAAATCTATCACTGCACACAAGAGTGATGTTGTCAAGTAACTATTCACTTCGTAATCCCAATCAAGGGAGAATATTATGTTGAGGATTATGTGTGTTTGTTCAAAAATCCACCCAAACCATATCATGCGCCACATAAAATATTCCATTTTCCTCGTAAACAAACTGGTATCAACAACGTTAAGCGACACTTAAGCCACACCGCGAAATAATCTGATATCGCGTTTGTGGTGCTGTATTGTTAACAATAATATTG